GCTGAGGGTGCACTCCATGCCACTGTCCAAGGGAAGTGTATCCCAGGGAAGTCAAAAGAGTCACAGTTGTCCCAGCCCTGCAGGGTACTTGTCTGTGCTGGAGCTGACAATCTCCCTTCTCTGTTATTAAGGCTGAGGAAGAGTTAGTAAAGGCTCAAAAGGTGTTTGAAGAGATGAACGTTGATCTGCAGGAGGAGCTACCTTCACTATGGAATAGGTGAGTGCTGGAAGTTTTCCCAAGGGCTGATGAGAAGGAAGTGAGGACCCAAGCTCTTGTATCACTGTTCTCCTTAGCTTGGGCTTGGTGTCTGCTCTTGTCTTCCGGATCATCTCAGAGAGTCTGTCCTAGGATTCCCCTGAGCCAGGTTCACCCTGGGCTTTTTATGCTTTGCTTCGTGATCCTCGTGAAAAACTCAATTTTACTAGAAAGAGAAACTGTGTTTCTGTGCTTTGTCTGATTAATCCCTTTGCCCCCCTCAACTCTGCCCAATTTTCCTGGACAATGGCCCAGCTTTTGCTGTGGACAGCAGACAGAGCAGGCTGGGTCACTAAGATTTTGGGTGTGGAGCTGGCTGGCTGGAAGGAACATCTGCAGCTGAGTGAGTATGTCAGCTGATTGATTAAGGGAAGATGAGATGTCAGAGGGATTTATACAATCACCAGGATTAGAGAGCCAAGAAATGATGCCTTGATTGCTGTGTCTCACCATGCAAGCTTATGAGCACCCGGTGAAGCAGCAGGTTTAGCACAGGAGGGAGGATGAGAAGACAGGTTGCTCTGCTTTGGATGCCACCTTCAGGTTTGGGCAGTTGGGTGAACAAAAATGAGGGAAGGATCCTGGTGTGTCTGCCTTCAGTTACCCCTAAATGTGCTCCTGGCTATGTGACACAGAACCCAGTGAGGTCCTAGTGGTTACAACTGTCCTGTTGCGCTCTGTTTAACAAAGCGTAGCCTGGGCAGAGGAAGATGGGCTGAGAGAATAGGAAGACTTGAGAGAACATTGATTTACCATGCCGGTGATTACAATGATGAAAAGGGAGAAGGAAACATATTACAATGATGAAAAGGGAGATGGAAACATTTAGCTTGGAGGATGAACTGGAGCACAGCAGGGGCTGGTGTATGGGGAGGAAACAGTGGAAAGCAGGCAAACTCTTCTTAGGAGTGTTCCAGCTTATTTTTAAATGCTCTGATCACATCTGGGTTGACAATTCTGGTCTGGGGGGGATGGAGAGAGTGGGTGGCAGCAAGGGCAGGAAAGCAAAGTGCTGAGTCTGCTGTCACCCACCCTGGGTCAGGACTCTGTGCTCAAAGCAGCACGTGGAGGAAGGAGCTGGGAGGGATACAGGCATCTGGGTGCTTCCATGTGCAGAATGGTGATGCCGCTGGCCTTAGAGCATCTCTCTCCTGCTGTTGCTCCTCTAGTTGGGTGCTGGTGCAGCACTCTGTTGGCAGCTGGCAGGCTGGCTAGAGGAAGGAGGGCAGCAGGCAGCTGCTGAGGTTTTAAGGTGCCACAGGTTGTTCGCATGCTCCTGCTATCCAGCTGATTCTTCTGCTTTCCTGTTACTCTCTGTGCCTATCCTGTGCTTTCTTACTCTCTGCCCCTGAAGTAAACGGTTCGTGCTTTTTTGCTTCCCCTGGTGCTGAGGGACTTCAGAGTGAATTAATATCTGTCTTCTTGCCAATTCCCCCAGCTCTCCTCACACTCCATTTGTGTCACAGCCTCTATCCTTTTCCTTTCCATCACCTTACCACTGGCGCTCTTTTTTCCTTCTTTCCATTTTTTTCCCCCCCTTTCTTCCCCTTCCGCCCTACGCCACCTTCTCCCTTTAGCCAGCACAAATTCAGATTCTATCCCACCTGGCCTCCTCCTCACCTTGGACATGTTTGCCCCATACTCGGCCTTTGCTCCATCACGCCTGTCATGCTTCTCTGCTGCTCTTCTCTTCCGAAATGTACCAGACCTGACAGAGTTGAGTTTGAATGGGAATGGTGGGTGGGAGGTAGCAGAAGGGGCAGAATTGAAAGTTTTTGGGTAAGCATTGTGTCCATTAAGTTCTTCTGTCTCATTTTTCATTTGGCAGTCGTGTTGGTTTCTATGTCAACACATTCCAGAGTATAGCAGGCCTAGAAGAGAACTTCCATAAAGAAATGAGCAAGGTAAGGCTTATCCTACTAATCCACCCTTTCCTCACTGTTGTTTGAACAAAACAAAACAAAAGTAACAAAAAAACCTCCAAACACCAAACCAAAAAAACCCCCTGAAAAACTCCAAACCAGAAAAAAAAAAAAGCAACTGGAGAAAACAGAGCATTTGCCCTATGTCAGGTGAAAATATTAAACCTTAGTTTTTTTTTCTGAGCCACTTGGAAGAAAGGCTGTCCGAGATAGTAATGTAAAGGGATGGAGCACAGGGAAGAGACCACAGGGCCATGCAGCAATGGGGAGTTTGTGTCACTTGGCAGGGCTCGTTTGCAGATCCATAGAGGGAAGGGAAGCCACTTTCAGGCCTCTGGCTTTTTCAGTTCATCTACATGATGGATCTGTAGCCTATAACCTGGGCACTCAGCATGGTATCTGCTTGCCCCCTCTGCTGCCTGGCAGCAAGTTGCTATGAGCCCTCATTTTTCTAGCTGTGGGGATGAAAACAGCAGGGAATCTACCAATCTACAAGTTGGCTGAAGACTGAGACCCATGTCGAGACCCATGTCAAAACCCACGTCACTCCGGTCCCTCAAGAAGGCACTTCCCAGCAGTACCTCTCGGCTTTGGCTTCTTTACTGCTGTGTGACCCAAAAGAAGGCATCTGAGTGCTTAGCATGGCCCTTGTGCGGGCTACCACTTAGCCACGAGTTAGGAATCACAACAGTAAGCAGCGTTGTGACCTGGTGGTGGCAGGCTGGATCCTGGTGCTGTGTGCCAGCACCCATCAGAGGCCTCGGGAGCAGTCTGTGGGGAAGCCCCCCATTGCCACTTTCATTTACAGATATGTTCTTGTTCTTTCACTTAAAGCTAGAGAAGCCTTGAATTCCTTAGGTCTGTATGCTGCTCATAAGAGTTGCACGCCCTCTGTAAATGTTGCACTAATCCTGATGAGCAACTGAGAGCCCAGCTGGAAAACTCTTATATTCCCTCCCCTCCCCTCCCCACTGTCATCCTGACAACAAGTCAGCCGCTAAGCAACAAGCAACATTATAGTCCTTCAATTCCCAGCAGTCAGGGGCCCTCTATCTTGGTGTAATGCATCAATTTTGAGCCCTGCTGACATTTCATGGGGACTTTTCCAATTAATAGCCTGCTTTTCTCCACTGAGGGATGAACTGATTGTTAAGAATAGGGAGGATTATTAAAATTATCCGTTTGTTGCTGTTAACTTACATTCAGTAAAACACGGGAAAGATGCTTGTTAGACAGGAATTCTTTTCTTGTATCATGTCTGGAATTTTTCTTTCCTGAGGAGTTTTGCACGAGAGCAGGGCTTTTGCTTTGTTCCGTAAGAATCATCTGTTTCTTATTACTGCTATAGCATTCAATTAACTTCTGGTGTTGCCTGCACGATGCCTCCAACATTGATTGCATTGGACTCCTCCTACCAATGATAAATCTGGCATCTCATCTTGTTTATGAGCTGGCTGTTTCAGAATAGGAGTGTCTGGAGTGAATATTGCAGCCTTCGGTTCCAGGGAGAGTTTAACCCTTAATATGGCATTTCTGCAAAGATACTCAAGTTCTGCCCAATCCTAGATGGCCCAAGCAGCTTGTGAAGTCAAGGCTGCTTGTTGACTCGAAGTCCAGCTGCCTGTGGCTCCACAGTTGAAATGGCCATATCCCAAGCTTTATAAGCAAGTCTGAGGAATAGCTTTGGCTACAGATCCAGAGTGAAGCTTCAGTTCTAGCACATAGACCCTTAGGTAAACACTCTGCCCACTTCTGCAGTGGTACCTGGTAGCACACTGATGGGGTCAGGTGGTAGGGAAGCAAAGAGGATGATGTGTAAGGGAGTCAGATCATTCCCACCAGGCGCCAGCAGCTCTTCAACAGTCTGAGTGCTCTTGCATTTCGTACCCCGCTGAGGAGTGGAAACAGATGTAGGGCTGTCCTCTCTTGGGATAGCTGAGTATGTGCACATGTCCGGGCACAAGCCTGTGTTGGGTCAGCCTGTGTAGGCCAGCCCAGACTCTTCTGGCATTTGGACTCTTTTCTCATTCTTTTCTTTGTTTTGTTTTTGTATTTTACAGTTGAACCAAAACCTCCATGATGTCCTGCTGGGTCTAGACAAGCAGTACTCAGGCAATGCCTTCCCCATTAAAGCACAGCCCAGGTCAGTAACTGTGGGAGTAGTGTGTTTCCCTCGCAGCGGAGCAGGGACAAGGATGTCTCTACTGGGGTTATTGAAACCTCCCTGTTGGCAGTTGGAGAGTGATATGGCATATAGCCAGCCAGTGCCCTCCTGAGACACCCTAGAGCATGTCCAAGATTGCACTCGGGGCTGGGTGACACAACGCAATGCCTCTTACCTTTCTAGAATAGCATCTGGAGGCTTAAACTTTTACTACGTGCTGATATTTAGGGAACTGACTCTCAGCTCTGCTTTTCTAAAGATGAATTCCATGCACCGACATATATGTAATACTGAGCTTCCTTTTCTTCTGGGTCCAGTTGCCCAGCGCCTGTCCTGTTCTTTCCCTCAAAAGCTTCTACCATGTACATGCAGCTTGTAAGCCTGAGCACCAAGAGCCCATTTGTTTCCCCAGCCTCCTCTTTGGCCCTCCAAACTTGGAACCATCTGTTTGCCAAAGCCTTATGCCCTCTCCTGTGTACCCAGCTCAGGTGTGTTTCCTCTGTGTGTGTTGTGGAGGTAGTTGCAGCCTCACTACTATGAGGCCTCCTGATCTTAAAGTGCTTCCAGTCTGCACATGTGCACGGAGTGAGCATCCTCCAGGCCTTTAGTTTTCTTTCCTCCGCTGGGTCCAGTCCTGTGTGGTTAAGTGCAAGTCTGCACATTCTCTAGCACTGAGAGGGGAGAGAGAGGTCAGGCTCTGGATCAGGCTGTCTGGCTCCCATCCAAATGCGTGAGTGATGAAACAGTGTTGGGCTCTGGCTTCCAGCTGCTGCTAATCCCACGTGCTGGGTGAGCAGGAGCACAGCCCAAGACCTCAATTGGTGTATTGATGGAGGAAGGAGGTGAAGTCAGCATGAAGTAAGGGAAAGCTGCTATTGTCTGAGTGCATTGATTTGGAAGGGCCAGATCAGCTGTTGAGACCTCTGTGCTCTCTTGTCTCTCCTCCTAGTTTAACCTCCTATTGCAGTCGTGCATAGATGATTTGTGTGTCTTGTTCCAGAAATGTGTGTGGTGTTTGCCAGCTCTAAAGAAAGAGGATGTTTGAGTTGAATTTGTCTCCTGAACCTTGGATTGCTAACACCAAATTTCCAAGATGCTAGTAGGAACGCTTCTTGTGAAAATAGTGTCTTCCTGAGTTAGCGTGTGGTGTCTGTTGATCATCACAGCCCAACAAGACTAAAGCCTTGTGAGAAGGCTGTGGTGCCTGTCCTCTTGCTCCCATGTGCTGTGTTGTTTCCAGTAGCAGCATCCTCAAGGGTCCTTGGAAGAGAATGAGGTAGCAGGACAGTTGAAGGCTGTAGCTATTGCTTTGTCCAGCTCCTTCCTCCTCCTTTCTTTTTCTTCAAGGAATTGATTGCAGGCTGCAGTGACAGCTTGGCCCAGACATGTTTGTGGTGTTGTGGCATGAAGTTTCTGGCCTGAAAGAGCTTCCAATGAGTAAATTACCTGTCCTCACGATTCCTGCCCCTACAAACTGCTAGCTTTGTCTGGGGCTGTAATGAGTGCCTCGGCTGCAGTTCTGTGCTCTTTGGCTGACTACGAGACCACATGGCCTTAAAAACTGAAAACGTGTGCACACACAGAAGTCCCTGTGTGGCAGCAATCTGAGTGCTGCTGCTTCATCACTTACTCCCTGCCACTCAGCTGAGATGCCAGACCTGCCCCAGAGCGACCTTCTTCCTCCTGAGCACAGTGGAGCAGGGTGTTGTAGGACATAACAAAGGTTTGCCAGGGTAGTAAATGTGTTTTGCTGTGACCAGGAAATGCTGTGAAGCACTTCTCTGTCCTGCACATCTGGCTTGTCGTTGTGGTGCAGGGCTGGAGCGAGATCGTGCAGGAGGAAATAGCCCTCACTGATCTGATTGCTTATTGTGGTCTGCAGTATGAGCAGATGCTTCCCTAACCCTCCTCTACTGGGAAGGGGACTGGAGATGAATACAATAGCAGGAAATGAATGAGGAGGTGTGAGAAGAGAGGCAATTGATCTGTGCATATCATTATGGCATTCATGTGAGGCCCTACAGAAATATTACTGTGGCTGATGAATTTCATGCAGGCTGTGTAGCACAGTAGCACAGAGCAGCTGATGTATTTCTGGGAACGTCAGACGTATGTCGGGGATTTGTTTCTGAAAGAGATTGAACGTTCAGGGCTCAAATACCTAGAAGAGCTAGGAGATCCGTAGTGTTATCCTAGCATGATTGGACAAACTGGAAAAAGACGTAGTAGGAAGGCTGCTGATTAGGTTCCACGTATAAGACTGCAGTCAGATTGCATAGGTAAAAGAGAATGGGGAGCTTGTTTCTTGCGTACTAATATTTACAGGGGAGAGTGAGGAGCTGTGATTACCTGTGAAAAATGACATTTACAGTTCACTTCTGGTCTATACAGTTTCTCCTTTTTCTTCTCCATGTGCACCCTGACCCCATATTTCAAAGAGCAGGGAAAACACTAGTTTGCTCACAGGTATGTAGATCTTTGACAGGCACAAAAAATCCTCACCTACCCTCTCCAAACCAGGTCATAGCTTTCTAGGAACCAAGGGAAGTGTGTACATGTTTCTCTGTGTGTGTGTCTCTGTGTGTGTGTGAGAGAGAGAGGAGGTCTTGTCATCTTGATTACAGTGAGTTTTGTGGCACTAAGCGAATGGGTGCTCAGAAGCTTAACTTTTCCTCCCTGGTTTGACTGTGCCATCCTGTAACGGAAATGATTTACGTGCCATCCTCAACAGAAAGAAAACTAAACTGTTCGCCAGGCTGAGGAAAAAGATGAGCAGGTACCGGTACGGAGAGCAGCATTTCGATATGTGTTTGATTTAAAACTGGAGAGGCTGTTGCTGGACTCTAACAGCCTGGCACGTGTTAACCCTGTGATGGGAGAGGGGTCCTTTGCATGATACGATGTGTTCATGGCCTGCTGGGTCCTGCTGAGATCTCTCTGTGTCTGGATAATCCCATTAACTGCTTGTGTGCCTGGTTTGAATCCTTGCTTCTTTTCCTATCTAAGAAGGCAGCGTGAAAGCTCAGGCATTGTCTGTTGAGTTGTTTTTGTGTGACTAAAAGTGTGGTGCTGGGTTTTCCATGGGAAATAAGAGCAATATTGGTGATTAACAACTTCCTAGTTTTACCTAGTGGGGCTTGTCATTTTGAATAGGTCTGAAATACTGCATTTTCATTCCCTGCCTGACCAGGGAGGACCATGATGCAGGTCTTTCACACTTAGAAGTCCTGTCCTATCTCCTGTTGCAATTGGGAGAATGATGAGGTGGGAGAAGGACACTTCCAGCTTTGCTCCTTACATGCTCTGTTCTTGAAGATCCTCACTATCTTGCTCCATCCATTTAAAATTTTGTGCAAGGGTGAAGGAAAAGGAAGCCTGTTGTCTTGTGTAAAGACTAATGTCAGCATCTTGCATTTCGAGGCAGTGATGACATTCAATAACTGGGTTACTACAATGCCTAGAGTTACCATAGCCAAGGTCAAGGACTCTGACAAGAACATGCTCTGGAGCAAAGTGGGAATTGCTGCATAATGACAGAGAAACTTCTAATTTTTCTGTTTCTTAGTCTTTGTGTTGGTACTCCCTCCATGGGATCCTTATAGGAAGAAAAAAAATATTAAAATATAATTCTCAAGATGATGTCCTGCCAGCCATAAAAGCAAGTGCTGGTGGATTGGAATCCTTGCTTTTCTGATCCTGGCTTCCCACTGACTAGAGCAAGTCATATGATCCTTCTCTTTGTCTCTGCTATGTATCCATTTTAAAGTGGGAGGTTAGAGATTGGAGAATGGTAATTTCACAGGGAAGCTGATGGGCAAATCTTGATTTTTATTATTATTTTTTTTAATATTCTAAAATGAAAAGTAGTGAAGGAATGTCTTGTGTTGTTACTATTCTGAGGTTTTCTACCATAGGAAAAGAGGATTCACAGAAGTACTTCTCTGGGTGTCTGTCTTTGGTCCTTGGTTGGACCAGTGTTGTACCTGCACCAGGCAGGAGGTCTAGTATTTCCAGTCACTGAGAGAAGATGGATGCTACAGCAGAGGGAAAGCTAGTAAATGTCATCTTGATGAGATCTAGCCACAATGTCCTCGTGCCCTGCCCTGATAAATTCCAACTGACCCAGGAGTTCAGGTGCCTGACCTGGGCTGTGCTGGAGGTTTCTGCTTTTGGAGCACAGAGGAATGTGCAACCTCTAGTGCAGGGAAGGAGAGTCTGGGACTTGGTCACTCTTTGATCTGTAGCAAGAATGTACATTTGTGCCACTGTATGTTTAGGTACATAGGTGCCTTTTCTTCTTTTCTCCTGCACTTTATTTTTTAAGTTAAATAATTCTCCAGCCTGCTTTGGTGCTAAAAAATAAATCACTTTTGGCTAAAAGGCCCTGTCTGAGCCTTAGCTGAGCTGCCAACCTTTTTTACTTTTTAACTTGAAAACTTGGCAGGAGGTGACTGGTCTGTTTTTACTGTTTTTACCATATTGGAAAGTAGGTTTCATCCTCTAACGTAGGATTGTTACAAGCACATGGGAGCCTCATCTGCAGATGTTACTCTGCTCTTCCAGAACAGATGAGGCAGCCCCATGAGGGGTCTGGGAGCTTGGCAGCACTAGAAGAGGCCAGGGGATTTTGGCTTTCCCTTCAGCTGCAGTAACTGCATTAGACCCTGTTCCCAGCTCTCTATTTACAGAAGAAAGTTGACACCCCTTCCCTTCCCTGCCTGATATTCCTGGATTTGGCATCGCTTCCCAGTTGCTCATGGGAAGGAAAAGAAGAGAGCAATGACCTTGTTGCTTTGACTTGTTTTTACGGTGGTACTCACGTTTGACCGGTGGGGACAGTCCCCACACTCTTGCTTTTCCTTGTGTTTCCTGGAGCAAGCAGTCAGTTTGGAGACAGGACTGTGCTCTCGTGTGGGCAGTGTGTGCTCCCTGGGGACCCGTGAAGGACAGAGGACCCTGGTGACAAACTTGCTTGACGCTGGTTGCACTGGCTAAATGCGTGCAAAGCAACAAGTGCAGGAATGAAGGTGCCACTCGGGGGGCTGGAAGAGGCTCAGCCAAAATTAGCGCTGGCATTTTCCAGGGGGGATCAGCCAACACATCAAACAAGCTGTAAATAGTAGTGACTTAATAAAGGCTTTACTGTGGGGCCCTCTCAGCCCTTGTAGGATGAGGGGAAGAAGCTGGGCTGCCTCTCGTGTGGGAGCCTTTTACCAATATATCTCCAAATTAAGTTACTGCCAGGCACCAGAAATAAGGCATTAAAAAGCTGTTTCATGGCCCTTAGAAAATAAGCCTGAGCTCCCTTCTCACTAGGAGAAATGGCCTCTTCAGTTCCCCAGAAGGAAAAGCCTAACCTTGTGTTGATAGGCCAGCTGATAGCCAGTAGTCCCAATATTCCCAGTCTAGTCTGGGCATTTGAAGAGTCCTGTCAGTCTTAGCTGTAGATCACTGTGTCCCCCATCTTCTCCAAAGTGCTTTCACCTCTCAGGAAGGTAGCATTGCTGGGTATGTTTCTTGTTATGTATTTTCTTTCCCCAGCTCTAGCTTCAGAGGACATTTTCTGTCATCTCCTGCTGTTCCCTGGTGACTCCCATTTAGAGCAGGAGTTCCTTACCTTTACCCTGCAACTGTTACTTTTATCTGTAGCACAACCTTGTCAATTTTGCAGAATCCTTCACACCACCCACTGTTTTGAAATTATTTCTGAGGATCTCTGAGGAAGGACACTGTAGGCATATCCAGTCAAAAGGAAGAGCTGCAGTGGTTGGCATACATGTTCTTTAGTCCCTCTTCTTACCTTTTTCCTCTTCCTTTCCCTCTTTTTCCCTTGGTGTGTGTGCCCCTGGTTGAGAGCTGCTGGCAGAGAACGTCATTGGGTTTGTTGCATCATGTTGGTGTGCTGCTGGCATCAGTGTCATCAGAAACATCTGACCTGCATGTGGACCTGAGAGCAAGTGCTTTGGGGGGAAATGTGCGTGTGGGGTGTAGATATGGGGAGAAAGTGGGGGAATGGGTGAGGGTGAAGTGAATGAAGAGGAAATGGGATGGGGAGCTTGAAAGCTGGAATGCTGAGCAGGGGGAGATGCTTGCTTGGAAGGGGAGATTTGTTGTTGAAATGCCTTGCTGTCCCTTCCTCCTCTTGCTGTCCAACTACTCGTAAGATTTTAGGAATAAGGCCATCATGCATGTTAGCCAATGACCACTGCACCTCAGGCATCCGAGTGTGAGTGGATGTACATGTCTGGAGCTCTGGTCTCTTTTGGGACTGAGCAAAGAAATAATTAACTTGATGTCTCTGTAGAATCAGGTCTGCATTGCTCTAGTCCTGGCTTCATACCCGGATTTATTGTCTCAAGTTGTAGGAAAGGATATGTTCCTTTCGGCTTTCTCCCAAGGCCTTTAACTTCACATGACTGCAACTTCATAAGTGTAGATGAGGTTGCAAGCCCTTTTGCAATATTCTGTAATATTCTGGTTTTGGCTGTGTATAGTTTTGCCAAACTGTAACCACTTTTACTAAAATATCCCATGCCAGTGTCTGTGCTTCTGCATGACTTGAGGTAAACTGATTAGCTGCTTTTTGGGGAGATGAATTTCAGCCAAGACGGTTCAGCTGTTCCTGACAATTAGACTGGGAAAATGGTTTTACCTTTATCCCTGTTGAAATTCTCTGGTAACCAACTTTTTACTAATCTCTCATGATTCTGTACTTTGAAGCACAGACTTGTCTGTTGACCAGGTCATGCCCTGTGTCTCTTGCCATTCCTCTGAAAAATCTGTCCAAATCTGTCCAAGTTATAAACCAAAAAATGCCATTGGCATATGCTCTTTGCATCTTAATTCCCTGAAGAATCCCTCTTGCCTGTGTATCAGAAACAGTTTTGGAGTAAGGACCAATTGGAAAGGCAAGGGCAGAAGGAGTTCGTCATTGAAAACAAGGCTGGGGATACTTTCCATAATAGAGAAATCTTTATTAATAGCCAGAATATCACTGTTCTTTGCCTTCTGGAATGATCTATGAAACCTCTAGCTACTTTGCCCCTCTTCCAGCTTAGCCAGTTTGTACCACATACAGGAATATGATACTCTATGATGACAGCCTTAGTGCAGGTGTTGCAAATCTATTAGTCATAACCCATGCAGATGTCAGCATACCACCACACAGAAAAATTCTCATCTGTAGAATTTAAAACTAAATGAGCTGCACAGAACTCCTTTCCTCATCTGCTTCCCCAGTATTAAAAGACTACTGCTTAATGTCAGGCACTTACGTTAGAATCTAGCAGAATTAAGGATGCCTGGTTGGTTTTTTTGTTTTTCTATGTCTGAGGCAAAGTATATCCATGCAGTAGGAATTTGGTGAGTAGCCTGCTGCACAGTAATGCTGCTGCAGTGTGTTGAACTGCAAGTGACTCAGCAAAGATGCTTCTTAGAAGCTTGTGGAGACTTCTGATGTCTTCATCACGTGTCTGGGCAGCAAAGCAAAGAGATAATGGAGGCCACTGATCTGTGCTGGTTAGCACAACTCCTCCTAGGCCTGGCTCAGACTTCTCTTCTCTCTCTTTCTCTTCCCCTCTTTCTCCCTTTCTCTCCCCAATTCCTTCAGTGACAGCACCCCAGCGAAAGCAAATAAAAGCCCCTCACCTCCACCAGATGGATCTCCCATCACCAGCCCTGAGACCAAGACTGTCAACCATGAGCTGGAACCGTCCACTTTGGAAGCGCCTGGGGCAAGCATCCCAAAGTCACCATCTCAGGTAGTGTCCCCATGACATTGACCATGTCTCTGCAGCATGACCACTGATGACACAAACTCTGTGAGTCAAAGACATCCATCAGTTGCTTTTTTGGACCTCTTCCTGCTACTGAGCACAGAGAATATGACATGATGGTTGTTCTCCTTCACTGAGTCCTGAGAGGTTCCTGAGAATGAAAACTACTCATTGGTCATCTCTGTATCATATAGGGAAGAACTAAGCCGCCTCTGAATGCCTCTACAGGGGGAAGACCAGTAATACATTTTACTGTCCAATAGGATGGCCAAGAAGATCCAGGGAGGGTGGAGTTGTAGCTAGGCAAGAAAGTTCGTTCTTTACCTTTGAATTAACCTGTGGAATTCAGTAGTCCAGTTTCTTCTCAAGAACTTCCTGTAGCTAAGAAAGGTTCAAAGAAAAATGTTTAATATTGATAATAAGGAGAACATCTGTACTTTGCATGATGTTTTATTTTAATCCCAAGATAAAATATTATGCTAAAAATAAAGGCATTATATTCTTATTCTATGAAGAAATTAGGTGGGTACCAGAAGGAAGGCTATCCATTATATGGAGTCTGATACCTTCTATGTGACCTTTGTTATACCTTTCCTTACACAGGAGATACTCAGCGGCATGTTTAAAATAGCAGATGGAGCTCCTGCTACTCGGCATGTCATAGGATATGTTTTACTTTGGGATTTAAGGAAAAGAAAACATTTGCTTCCTCTTCCCATCTCTCAGTTGCTGAGTGGGAGAAAAGCGTAGCAGGGAAAAGCAGTAACTAGGCCAAATTTATGTCTGGTGCCAATCCTTGCATTTCAGTAAGTGGGACACCAGGGAGGAGCCCAGGAAGAATTAAAGCTGAGAGTGTTTCTGGCCAAACTGGTAAGAGAAAACCTTTTGCTTCTGAAAAGAGATGGGTGCAACCCAGAGCTTCCTTGCTGTTGCCATATATAGTGCGATCCCAAATCCAGGCCTGAGGTAGAGGCTGACTCCTGTTTCTGGATAGCTTCTCACAATATTTTTCCCTCCACTGCATTTTTAATGTTCAGGATTATCTAGGGACAAAAGGGGATGTTTGTACATTGACAAAAGAGTCTTTTCCAGCCCTGTGAGATGTGTGGATGCCTGGCAGTGTCTTTTCAGGACTTCTCCAGAGTCTCTCTGCTGCTCAGCACTGCACAGCCTAGAGCAGCTTTGCCACCACCCTGTGCTAGGACCTTGGAGTAGGGTATGTGTATGGGAGAGAGAGGGTAGTGCATCCAGAACTGCCTTCCTGTTTTTTCATATTGCCATAACTTGATTGAAATTTGGAACAAGAAATTATGCAGATTTATCGTGCTGTTCGCTGCAGACTTCACTCACCCTGCCTGTGGACTCGTCTTGCTGAGTTTGGCTTCTTCCCTTTCCTTTAAATAGCACACACAAGGCTTGTTTTTGCCAGCCTGCGAGTGCTTTCTCATTCACTTGCTGCCTTCCTGCCCACAGGAACGGGGCTGGAGGCAGCCCTTGTCCAGCAAGCAGAATATTCCAGTGCAGCCCCGGCTGGAAGCTCAGATGGGCCACAGGCAAGACTGAAGTGACATTTGCAGCTGATGCTGCCACCGCCTGGCAGCTCTCTCCCAATCCATATTTAATTCCTTCTCTTGGGACTCACTACAGCGAAGAGCAAGAGCTCCGCTCTGTATTCGTACTAGGTGCTAAGAGATGGAGCTGGCTCCGGAGGGAGGGGAGACAAGGAGAGGGATTTCATAGCTAGAGCCAAGCCTGGTGTCTGCATGGATAAAGTCTAGAAACTAAATGTGCGTCAGCTTGCCAGCCAGCTGGGAGACACCAGTGCTTGCTCTCTCAACGGTGCTCTCAGCTTTGATACTGAAATCTTCACATTACTTTTGGCCTATGGGTAAGTGATTTGCTCCAGGGTCCTCCTAGGGAGGCCGGGGGCCTCCTGCTCTGGGGGAGAATGGAGCAAAAAACAACAAGCAAGTGCAATTCTCTGGCCTCTTCCTGTCTGAAGTACTAATGCAAGCCGTAAGCAAAGGCTGAGAGAAAGACAGCAAAACTGGAGAAACCAAATAAATGCTAACTAAGTTTTGAACTGTTTCCTGTGCCAAAAAAATAGCTCTTTTACTGTTCTTTAATTCTTGAAAACAGCTTATTTCTGTCTTTTGGAAGAAGCGGCTGCTATCAGCACTCCCCACTGAGTAATTTGATGATGACACAGGACTTCAGAGGTCTGTGAAATTTCAAAGGTCAGACTTTTGCTCTCAGTTACACCACTGAAACACTGTAATGACGCTTTTGAAACCAGTGCAACTGTGTTGAATTTAGACAGGTGAAATGCTGTGGGATCCAAGTCAGCAGAAAAATTTTAGAGGATTTGTTTTATTCTAGGCAGCAAAGTTGTTCATGCTTGGTGAATTTCCAGGTATAACCCAACATCAGCATGCAATCCTGTTATCTTTGAAATGTGGTTTTAGACTGCTGTTGGAGGTAATGCTGGACACTGTGCAAGTGGTGGTCTCCAAGACACTAATGCATTGGAAGAAAGGAGACTGACTATTTTAAAGAAATAAATAGCAGAAGAGTCGGAATCTTTTCAGCTTTAGAATTTGTAATTGGAGCCTGCTGTTTCTGCGGATGTGGTGGCTCTGTTCTGAGAATAGCTTTTCCCTGAAATTTCTGGTCCCTTCTTGCAACTGGCAAACGGGATTTTCAGGAGGGGATTTTCTGCAGGGAATACAGACACACCGCCTTCTGCAAACAGTGAAAAGTTGAAAGTGAACACACTACTTTCCCCTAGCTAGCTACTCAGTGGAAAATGTGTGTTTGCATACTCACTTATACTCTCTAAAGTAGACCAACCCAGTAGAAAACTGGGCATAGATGTAGCAATCTGAATAAATGCCCTGTAGAGCTCAGTTATAAGCTGGAGAAGTGGAACACAGGACTAGGAGTCGAGGATTGCTATGTTTCAGATCTGGGGCTGACGCTGATATACTGGGTGCCCTTTTGTCAGGTCTTTGAATCTTGCTGCCTTGGGATCCTAGGTACAACGAGAAGATCAAGTAACTGTAAGACATCACTGTAATTGGAAAGCATTGTCATTGCTGAGCATTACTGTGGTGCTGGGAGCTTGTATGGCTGCTTTGCTCCAACGCAGCAGCAGCTCCTCAAAGTTTGATTTGATCTAGAAATGATCATTGAGCCTTGGGCACAGAAAAACGTGAAAAGCATGTGGATGGATTGATCTAGGGAGGGTCTACCACAGCTTCTCACGGGGTTGTGGATGCAGTGTCAGGCTGAGTCTTTTAGTATGATGGGTTAGAGTTACAGGGATCTCCATTTGGGAAACATGACTTCGTTAGTGTCATTGCTCATTGGTGAAATTGAGAGCAGAGTTGGACTCACAGCAGTTATGGCTTCTCAGGAGTTTGAATTGTTCTTGCCTAAAACTGAGAAGCAGTAAGACACCATCAAGAGCTCCTTCAGAGCTTTGTTACGGTACACTGATAACCAGTGCACCCGGGAACCAGTTCTGGGCAGATCAGAGTCTGTCCTCGTGGTCAGCTACCTGTAATAGGACAAACTGAGTCAGATCTCCCATTCCCTTAGTTACGGTAAGTACGGCGAAGGGAGGCAGTGCTGGCCTGGTCTATTGAATTGTGTTCTCAAAAATTGATCTGCTCCCTTCCCAGTGGTTCTTTTGAAGGTTGCACATGCTTTAATTATGTATGCATGTCCTGTCAATGCATATTAATTGTGTTACGCTTCTCCTCTGCAGAGGGAAACTTGCCCACGGCTGAAGTGTAACTAATGATGCCAAACCTTCTCTGGAGGCGTGTGATTGTTTTTTTTTTGTCTTGTTTCAATTCAGCCTTTCACCTTCCCTCCCTCTCTCTTCAGATGGAGTTGATTGGACCCTGCTCTATGCCTGTGGTTGTGATTTCCCTCACCTTCAGTTTTTGTGGCTAACCTGGTTCCTGTCTCTGGTTTTTTTGGGTGTCGCCGTCTGTGCTGTGGCCGTGTGCTCACTTGCATGCAGTTGAGGAAAGGGCCTCCGGTGCCTCCGCCTCCAAAAGTCACCCCCTCCAAGGAGATCAAGCAGGAGAACATCATCAGTCTGTTTGATGACAATTTTGTCCCTGAGATAAGTGTGACAACCCCTTCGCAGGTTAGCTGCTATGCCATGCCTTATATTTTTCTGCCTCTGAACTTTTCCTTTTGACCTTTCTTCTCTTTGGAGGTGTCAAGCCATGAAACCTGGTCAGGTGAAGGAGGAAGGCAAGCTCAGCATTAGACCTCAGAAGGCAAAGGATTAGATAGGAGACTAACTTAGAGGGGAGAGTGTCTGGAAGGCAGCTTTGACTAATACGTTGCCCTTTTGAGAGCTTTCCTTCATAGAAGAAACGGAGAAATGCAACTGGTGAAGATGTCAGAAAGTAATCGCTGCATTTGTTCAGCAGCAATGCACGTGGGTTATGGCTCCCCTCATATCCCGTGATATGCTTTCTCCAAACCCACTGATCCTGGCTGTGGATGAAGCATGTGTTTTCTGCTCTTGTGCATCCCCAAGTGCTGACCCTGGCATCTGTGCCAGTTCTGGGAGAAGGCAGTTTTGCGATCTCAGTGCCTTCACACATGGTCTTAAAGCCCACACCTGCACAGGAAAGGCCAACAGGAGTTGCATAAAGTTCTCTTTGCAGAGAATAAGTGACCCTGGCTTAGATGGGCAGGATTGTACCTGCTGCGAATTCAGGAATACTGACACGATCTATCACTCTTCACCTGCCAGCGGTTCCCATCAGAATATTTCGTTCTTGTCATGTGGCACCTTTTGAAGCCCTGAAAAAGGAAAAATATTTTCAAATTACATGTTTTCCTCTTTATTTCCTTTTGATTTACATCACTGCAAGAGAGGATGCCCGGGTGGGGAATTCTGTGTTGGATCTAGGATAATGACAGTCCTTATGTATATAGGAGCCTGACCAGATTTCTGGCTGTATCATGAAATACCTGCATCTACTTTTTTAAAATATATATACGTATATATATATTATTTTTTTTCAAAATGCTTGTTAAAGCACAAGTAATATCTCTATCAGTGCTCTTCTGTGACTCATTCCTAACTTTTCCTTGCATCATGCTGCTCCATTGCCTCTGGTTTGCCACCTTCCACCCAGCTGCTGAGGAACAGAAGTGGAGAGGGGGGAAAGGAAGTCCATGTCAGATTTTGGATTGCAATAGATAAAGCTTGCAGAGCAGAGAGATGATTTGATAGCAATGTTGGAAGGCAGAGACCTCAGGCAGCTGGGCAACTTTATAATTTTCTGTGCTTCCCTCTTCTGTATCATAATGGACAGCTCTGTCTGCCCCATGGTTTGTATTGTGTAATTCCATGTGAACACCAGCCCTTAGTCAGACGGGCTGTTCTGTACCTGATCAGTGCTGTGAACCAGGATGGGATCTCCTGTGATTTTTCAATCAGATGGGAGTTCTGAGGGAGAACTCTAGTTGCCAGAACAATCTTCACTGAAGCACCCAACAGCCGCGAGCGTTCAGTGTGTTGCCCAGGGCCATTCAGATATCTTAGCTCCACTGAGCTCTCTTGTGGGAGATCTGGGTAAAGGCAAGGAGTACTAGCCCTTGAATGTTAAGTCTTGAATGGCAGGTAAGATTATTCCATGACTGGAACCTTTGATGTCTCACTACGAAACGTAATTAAAGATTAGGGTTTGAGTCTCTCTGGTGGTTGGCCTGGATGTGCTGGAGCAGCGTACTAGAATGCTCGTTGGTTTTTGCATACTGGTCAGGATTTGTTATTGTGAGGTTCCTTGTCCTCATCCCTGTGGATCTCAAAAAGAGATGTTCATAAGGAAGAGAAAAATCTGTAAGAGAATCGGGAGTAAGAGGAAACTAGAGGAGGTGAAAAGAATGGTGGTGTGGGTCATATTCAGAGGACTTTCTCTTAAATAGTGTCTCTTGCTGCTTTCCAGGAGTTTTTCCATCGTGGGGCTATGATATAACTATGGAGACCAACCTGCCACACTTTGTGTGTTGCTGGAGATGTAGTTGAAGCAGTAGGGCCAGTGAGCTGAGAGGTCAGTGAAAACAGGGGCAAATCTTCTTGGACTTCCTGGAGAGAGCAGCTTCCTCTGAAGCTGAGTAGAAAGGAGTGTCTTGTAGTGGTTAGGTTAAATCTGAAAACCAAAAGTGACAGTTCGATTTTGAACACTAATGACTGGTGTCCTTTGTAGTGACTGTGTTATTAATGGTAATCAGCGAATGTGCCATCATTGTCTTTAGCTAGAGCGTTAGTGAGTCGAAGGAAGTTATTCTGCAGACTTTGAAGAGAGTAGCAAAGCCTCTCAAATTTATGCTTTGTTAGAAGACTCGTGTGTGTGTATGTTTCTGGGATGTTCAGAAATGGAAACCATTGAAAACAGTATTTTTGGATTGGGGAGTGATTCAAATAGCTTAGCTTGGGTGAGCTGCCATATTGTGTGTTTCTGTCTCAGAAGGCAGGAGGGAATTAAGAGCTTTGGGAGTTAGCTCTGAGGGCTCTCAGACTTGCCTTCCAGCAGTTTGAGTGGTCTTCTGCCTGGATCCGTGTGTCTTGAGATAAGTCGTGGGTGGCAGCTCTTCTGTATGTGGCTGAGGGAGTCTGTTCTGGGCCTTCAGTACAAAGGCAGCTGGACGAGCTATGGAAGAGAAGCCCTTCTGAGTCACCAGTGGCAGTGGTCCTTTTGACCACAGCAACTCAGCTGCTTACACCATGTCAGCGCATTTGGCCAGGTGGGAAGATGAATGATCCCTGCGGAAGAGGCTCAGGTTTGGTTTGCAGTGGCACCCATGTGAACTGCCTGTGACGATAGGCACCAAGCAGTCAGGAGTCACATCAGGTGTTTGCATTGCCATCATGTCTTCTGCGCTGGCAGCCTGATCTCCTGGATATCACATACCCTCCCTCTACTGTGCGCGCACATGTGTGTCTAATGCTCGTACTGCTTTTTCTTCCTCACTGCTACCAAGTTTGATGCCCCTGGGCCCTTCCAGGAGGGAGCCAGCCTGTTGGATCTGGATTTTGATCCCATTAAACCAGATGCCACTGTGGGGAAGACCCCCACACCTGCCTCCCAGGTTGGTTCATATCACCATTCCTTCTCCCTTCATAACTGACTTGTTGACGAGCGTGGTGTGACCTGCACCCACATGAATGATAACGTGAGTGAGCTGTGGGTGGCTGGGCTGGGTGCCCAGCCCTGTGCCTTGCAGATGGGCACCTTGGTCTTCTCTGCTGGATGTGTAAGTCCAGGGAGAATCGGGTGGCTATTAGCTTGGCCACCGTTTGGCACGAGGCATTTGTGGGATACTTGCACATTGCTCTGATCTACTGATTGACAACTTCTTCAGCTTAATGTACGTCCCTCCCTAGATTAGCATCCTCTGTATGCTATATGGATTTAAACTGTTGCTCTGTTGATGGGAATTCAGCCTCAGTTCTGTGCTCCTGCTATAAATTGCTCTCAAAAGGATTTTTAATAAACAGACATTCTGATAATCTGCAGTTACTTAAGGTGAATAAAGCTGTAGACGGATATTCAGGTGATGTGAAGCCCTTCTTTTTCGGGGTGTAACGTGGCCTCTGTTCATAGTTAAGAAGTAGCTGCCTCCCTGAGCATAGTGCTGTGCAGTGCAGCATCAAAAAGTAAGATGCCTAAATCTGGTCTGGCCTGTACTTGCTCCTGCCCACTGTCAGAGGCAGGTGCACTGCGCTCCATTTTATGTCTAAATGGCTGGAGGCTTTGAAGTGCATCCTAAATTTGGCTGTTGTCCTCACCAAGACTTTCCATTTTATATGTATGAAATGTTATTTTTTGCCTGTGGTTGCCGTTAACATTTGTAATAAACATAATTGGGATGCCTACAGTATTTCTCCAGTATCATTATGTCAAGTAGGCTTGTATGACACAGATATTTTTTTTGTAGCAATAAGACCTCTCTTATTAGAGACATCAAACATCAGACATTTGATTTTTCTAAATTAAAATACTATATCTGCAAAATACTAGTTATTATCATAGTTTGATACACACCAATATGGCAAGCTACTACTTTCTGGAACTTTAAGTGGGCAGACTGGCATTTCATGCCTGCTTCCCTGACAGAACAAGCTGCATGCCAGGATAAGCTTTTTTTAAAATAATTTATTTACTGAGATTTTTTTTCTTCTGAATCACGAGTTATAACTTGGATAATTTGATATACTTACATAAGATTACGAGTATAAATTTGACTTAAAATGGAACTTTTTGTTATCCTTCCAGCAAGCAACAAATATTGCACTGATTGGGTTTTTCAAAACTGCTCAGAAATAGCATATTTGGTGTTCTGATGTATTTATTATTAGCTGCAGAAGCCAATAAAAGGAAGAGTGTGAAATCAGTACTTACTAATGGTAACCACGGTACAAAACCTAGTGAAAACCACTTAGTTTTCAAAGCAGTCAAATTTGTTTCCTAAAGGGTGGGCATTATGGCAAAGAGCTTAAGATATTTCACTACTGATCCAAAGACACCAGCTGAAGTTTTGTTCTGAAATTATGCAAACTCTATTGGGTGCAGATATATGGAAGCATGTTTAACCCTGATAGACCACAAACTGATGAGTGGTTTGTTTTTTTTTCTGGCTATGTGGTCTTCCACTGATAACTGAATATGGCTTGGCTATCTCCCTTCATACCAGAGATAGAAAAAACCCTTACTCAAATGCCTTGGTACTTAAATTTAAACATGCAGTGGGGAGGGGTGTATAAATTCAGGTACTAAAAAAATATTTTTAAAACATGCAGAGATAAGTGCTGTTGAATGTGTATGTCTGCTTCAGTCTGATCAGCTTCTGTAATGTTTGTGCTCACTGAAATAATCATGTATAAACATGTTTTATTTTTGTTGCTCTTTGACATGCTTAGTCTTTACCTTGGGATTTATGGGAGGTAAGAACTTCACATGGCTTTCATCTCTCATCATGTACTGTGCATGTGGCAGTGCCATCTCTGTGCGCATACCTGTCTCCTTTCCCTCGCTGCTTTTCCTTTCTGCACACCCCAAATCAAAGATGCTCCATGTGCTGCTGAACTCACTTTTGCACCTTCTTGAAGCCACGGGGGCAGCCACATGTTTGCAGGTCTGGCACTCCGAAACTTATGTCTCCACTAGTGAACAACCCTATTGCCTTTCCCTGCTAACTCACTCATCTTTCCTTTGGCATGATGCTGTGATGTTCTCCTCAAACTTAATCCCACTGTGGCATCATTCTCACCCTCCACTCCCCAGCATTCCCTAAACTCTTTACATCCTGTTTGTCTTGTGTGCGATGCATAAATGTCTCAGCTGCCCCTTGTCCTTACTGCCTGTACCATTGGGTATACACATATGTTTAGAATTATCTGTGGTGTTTTCTGTTCATTGATCATCATTGCCAGAAAGGCTGACTTACCTGGCATCTGCCTCAACGTCAGCTTTGGAGCTTGCTGACACGGGAGACCCTACACGCTGCATCTGAACCAAAGCCAGACCCTCGTTTAAGCCCTCTAGATATATCAGGCCTGCAGATTAGCCTATTTGGAGATATTTCAAGCACAACTGGTTTTGAGCCCCTCTGAACAAACAGCCAGCAGTGTGGACAGAAAACTCTTGGTCTGAGTACTCAAGCCTGCTACTCGAGCTGGTTATATCCCATGGTGTAGATGTAAGCATGTGTCCTTGGCTGATGCTGGGGAATTGAGTTCTGCCAACCTTTCCATTCTCAAGAGCCAGATCACCACCCAGAGGCAGTACTTGGAAGGACATGACTTAACCCTTGCTGAGAGCCTGGCCCAAGGACTCAGCTGTGGCCAATTCTCTCCTTCACATGAGCTTGGGTCATGTCGAAAAAGATGTTTCCCTTGTGTGTTTTATCCGCCATCAGTGTTTGACATCTGTCATTCCCCTGTATGTGCCTTGTCAGTCTGTCTTGGTAAGAAAGAAAAGACATCTGCGTTCTTGCAAGGAAATATCTCGTGCCCTTCAAGTGGATGGGAATGGTGAGGTAGGACTGTGAGCTGTGCTTACAGTCTGGGGTGTAAAAAGTGTTTTGGGCTATTTCTTCCATCCTGGAAACTGATCTCACCCAAAGGACAATTTCATCAACCGGGGAATGCTACTAGACAAGATGTTCTCACCGTGCCAATTCTCACCTTGGCATACCAGACATGGTTAAAGAGCAGAGCTCCCTGTAGCTGGGGAGTCGTCCTCTTGCTCTTCAAGTCTTCTGCAGTGCTTTTGCTCTAATGTTGTTCTTTGCTGTTATGAGAGAAGACTTGTTGCATGGTCACATAGTCTCATGTGTCATGAGGTTAGCAACTGCATGGAAACTTGGCTGCTGGAGAACTTGCTTAGTTCTGCAGACTAGGAAACTTGCATTTGATGTCTATGATGCTGCTATTGGAATAAGCAAAGCTTTCAAACCGGGCAACAGCAGTGAGCAATTCTCCCTCTTCTCCCAATAGTATCTTTCCATGACTATAAATGCTTTTATAGGCCTTGAGATGCCCACAGGTACATAAAATATAAAAATAAGTAGCTGACATGAAAATGCCCTTTGTTGAAATCCAGGGGACTAATTTAGATTCAATTTCTCTGGTTATTAAATACTGTTTTTGCAAATTAGCTGCTTTTAAAAAAGGAGCTCACGTTGAGCTCCTTTTCACTTGTCCGTATAAAAACCATGCTTGGCCAGATAGAGTTGGGCTGGCATCTGTCCCAGTTCCAGTTTCGTTGAATCCAAATAAAAAGCAATCTGGGAGTGAATCTAATTAAACAGGAGAAGTCTTTGTAGCATTTCATATGCATACATTTACCTTAGCACTACCAAAGCTGCTGTGGGAATCCTCTGCAGGATGGGAACAGCTCTGCTGTTTATAATATCCTCTGGCAATGCAGGCCTGTGCTCATGGTGATGGGGAGTCATGAGGAAGGATTCGATAGGAGAGGAAAGCATGTGTTAAATGGCATCATTGGAGCAGCTGAAGGTAAAGTAATGGCTTTTTGTTAAATCAAGGATTTATTTCTTCATTATTGCTGCTGTTATTGGAGCGTTGTGCCAGTGCGTAGTAGTAGCCAGATGGGTGTAGTGTTAAGGGCTACCATGGTCGTTGCTTTACGCTGAGCTTTTGTAGGGCTGGGACTGTGATAATTGCAACATTAAGAAATCTGGACAATGCATTGCCTTAAACATGGTTGTATTCAAGGATGTGTTTACCAAATGTATGATGCATTTAGGCATGCTAAAGCTGGTTTATTCACATGTATTAAAAATGTGAAATATCTGTATTGTGCAAGCATAAAGCGAGTATCTGCTTAGATTCTGCAAAGAGGCGTGTATGCTATCTGGTATAGGGAACAAATGGATATAGACTGGCCATGAAGACGCTCAGGCTGCAAATTAAATTCCTGAGATTCTTGTCAGGAGTCTTCCCAGGTGCTGCCTGGCAAGTAGCCCAAGGGGCTGATCTGCAGCATTGATGCTACCAGATCCAACTTCCTGCATTGCTGCAGGATTCTGGGAGGGGCAAACAAATACCTTTAATTTTGTGTTAAAACAGAGTTAGCCTGACTTCGGGCAAGGGAGAATAAAAACTCGAACTGCTGGAAGTGTATCAGAGCTGTTTGGTTGGTCTTTTGTTGTGCCCAGAAACCCCTGTCCCCAGGCTTCCTAGAACAGTCTCTGCCAAGCAGTGATTTGTTGGTAATGCTGAATATTTCTCCCCAGTGGTGGCAGCTTTTGAGCATTAGAAACTCCTCTCTCCACCTACACAAATATGTGCATGCACCATGCAGAATATTCATAGCAAATTCTTACTAATAGAAGCCAAATTTGTGACTCTTTAGGCCTATCCGAAATCAGATCGGGTGAAAGCAGAGTTTTCAGTTTGGTTTGATTCGGTGCTAATGTCATGTAGATGCTGCGTCTAGACTGAGTTTTGTATCTAGACATGTTATTACCATGCTCTTCTGTTTCTGGGAGTATGCAAAGGCTTAAATGTTCCTTGATTATTGAACCTTGGAAGTAGCCTACCGAGAGATCCTCGTCCCTTGGCATGCAAGCAGGCTCGTATTCACATACAAGTGAACAATCTATGTGTGGTAATATAGACCATGTGTGTAAAGTAGGTCTGTGATTTAGATCATGAAAAGAAAGAGGGGCTCAGGATTTTTGGCGTTTCATTGATTTCCTCTGGAGCGTTGCCTACTGCGTGGCTGGAGCGAGGGAATGCAGGCTTTGCTGTGATTTCACTGGGTTGAAGAGAAAGGGAAACAGAAACCCAGCAAGACCCTGAGGTTTCTGACCGGTTTGTCAGCAGATGGCAGCAGTCAACAGCATAGAACACTTGGACAGGCTGAGCTTCGCTTTTCTGCGCACACGCGTATCTGTGATGAGTGTAACTCTCCACCTGGATGACTTTTGTATTGCAGCCTGCAGAAGCTGCCCATGCAGGAGCTGAAGCAGCTGGATCAGAAGCAGCAGCTGGAGCCGAAGCATCTAAAACTGAAGCTGATTCAGGATCGGTAAGCACCTCGTGAGACAGCATTCCCTTTTCTCCATCACGTGCCTTTGTCATGCAGCAGATGTGGGAAGCTGGGCTGGGGAAGAGAGACGTGTGGCTTCTTGGAAAAACACATCCCTGCCACCCCAGCAGTTACAGTGCTCTTATTCAGAGACCAGACTTAGACATTGCATTTTATCTGTGTAATGCTTAGGGAGAAGCTCTGCTGGAAGACCCACAAAAAGAACTGTCCCTTCACGCACATTGTGAAGCCAGCCCACAGCCCATGCCGCGCTAATTTTGCATTGTTTGCTGTATTCTTCCTTGTTCACCATTTACTTTACCTGCCCTGTCCTCTAGGCTCTGCCTGTGTTGCCTGAATATCCAGGGTTCCTCTTTTTTTTTCCTGACAATGTCACCTTTTTAGGGGACTGGAGTAGATCCCATCTCATGGCCACTTGGTTCCTGTAGGCTGTCACATACAAGTTGTCTGTTCCATGAGGGCTAGACAACAACTGCGTTGTGACCGCAGTGAATGGGAAATGCTGGCATTATGGTCTCAGAAAAACTATAAATCCTCAAGACCCTTCTGCAGCCTTAAACAAGAGACGATAGCGGTCACCTCTTCTGCCTTCTCACTGCTGCCTCTGCTGTCCTTTGGGGTGTTTTTGTCACTGACTGGGGTGCTGGGAAAACCTACTGAAGCTATGGGTAGAGTTGAGATGTTGATCCTCCACGGCGAACTTGGAACTGCAATTTTGGATTCTCTTTTCTCAATGGCTTCTTTTTGTCCTTCCCTGGCTGCTGTGGCCAACCAGAGCTCTCTGCCTGCTGTCGTTGTGGAAACTTTCCCTGCTACCGTCAATGGCACTGTGGAAGGAGGAGCTTCGTCTGAAAGAGCTGATATGCCCCCAGGATTTCTGTTCAAGGTGAGTGTATGGTGGTGGCATGCTGAGTTCCTGGTGACTTTTTTTTTTTTTCCCCCCTGTAGTGAATAACTGCTTTCACTCAGCATGGCCATGGGCTATGCTGCATTGAAAACGAGAAAGGAAGTTGAAGGAGAGAGACACCTATCTCTCCAGCAGCCCAGCTTCATGCAGTTCCAGATGCTTCAAAGAACTGAATAAGAGTGTTGGTGTCTAAATGTCTGGCTGCGCTGTATAGCAAACCCCCTCCTTCTCTCTGCTGCAGTTATTTCTGTCTCTGGTGGTGTGGTAGTGTCAGTCACATAGTAGTCTAGATAGTAGATAAGCAGTCTAGATCACAGTCTAGAGAGTAGATAAGCAGTGTGCTCCAAACTGGAAGGGTCAAACTTTGATGCAAATGGCAAATGAAGAAGAGTTGGAAACACCAGTGAGGACAGAGGACTTTGTGTCTGGGGAAATTAGAAAGCCAGGATGAACAGGGGAAAAAATGTAGGATTAAACAGGCAAGCCTGGGTATTCTGAGTATGCCAAAGATCACTCGCAGCTTGTTTCAAAGGTGTGGAGAAAGGAGTGATTCTGGGTGAGGATAGTCCACAAATTTAATGTGCATAATGAAATATGGTAGCAAGACAGCACAGATGCATCATGCCTTGAAAGTGAGAAATGACAGTCGTGCTGTAGGAATGCTTTTCTCACTTTTATTTTTTTTTTTCTGGGAGTTCTACCAAAAGCAGAAGAATGTCAAAACCCTGAAGAATAATGGGAGGCTCTTCACATTTAGACTGGTTACAGGCATCATTCTAGACTGTAGTGCTCAAAGTGGAAAGCTGTAGTTTGAAGTAGAAAAGCTTTAATGCAGATGTTGGTAGGAATTAGGCCGAATACCAAAGAGAAAACATGGCAGAATACAATCACTCAAAGATCCAAACTGGTACTCTTCCCTACATTTCCTCTCCCAGCTTGTTGTTGCAGAGGTGGGAGGCTATAATCTCTAATACTCTTGCAGTCCAGCTGCAAAAGGAATACAGGGCACCATTTGAGTAAATACAGGCTTTCTACCCTGTGAGGTTTTTAGGTCCATTCCATGGGAATTTAACCCTCCTAAGGAAGGATGGGGAGGTGCTGATGCATGACAAGTTAAATGCCACTCACCAGGGTGCCCCTGTGGCAAAGGCGAGCTGTGTGCCAGGCTGTATGAACAAGCATGTAGCCATTAGATTAAGGGAAACGGTTATTCCTGTAGATGTGGCATTTGTGATCCAAGCTTGCCCTGCCTTCATCACCAGGTTGGATAAGATGGTCTCCAAAGGTGCCTTCTAACCTGAATCACTCAGTGAATTGAGGAAGTGGAAAGCCTTGTGTCATGGTTTGATGTGGAGGGGGGGGTGGTTCTGGTGGCAGGAGAGGGGTTTTTGGTCCCTGTGACCTCCCCGGTTTTGGAACCGGGTTAGGCTTAGTTCTGGCCACCAGATCAGACTGCCATCCCCCTCGGGGTTGAGCCAATAGGGCGCCTCTGCGAATTGCCCTATTTAAGTCAGGACAAAGGGACCGGAAAAGGTGCTTCGCCCAGGACCGAGCAGAGAAGGGAGGAGGCCACTGCCCCAGCTCCCTGGCTCCCGGCCAGGCGGCTGCCTG